ACCACACCACACTGCAATACATCACACACACATACACACACCACACCCCACACTGCACATACATCACACACACACACCACACTGCAATACATCACATTCACATACACACACCACACCACACACTGCACATACATCTCTCTCTCTCTCACACACACACAAACCACACCACACACCACACATACATCACACACACACACACACACATACACACACACACAGAGTATATGCAGGTTACTATACAGGAGGGAGACATATGTTCGGAATGGTTAAGCTCTGAAGTTCGTTTGCTTTTGCCTGTGAGTGCTCCTGTTTACTTGCTATGCAAACTTGGGTAAATTGCACAAGGTCTCCATGCCTGCTTCCTGGCTCAAACACAGAGGTAAGCACAGCTCTTAGCTTCCAAGGCTGTGGTGAGGGCTGAATGAGCAAGTGTGTGTACACAGCACCCAGCACAAAGCAGCCTTTCAGTCAACCGTCAGTCAGCTTCGTTCCTCACCTCACGCAGCTGGAGGCAGACAAACCCGTAAATGACCTATTCTTCAAATTTGCCTCTTGCTCAACCTGGTGACTCAGAGGCAGTCACCTGGTGCTAACCACCTCTTGCCCCTGAGGCTCAACTAACACCCAGTCCACAGACCTCTGTCTACTGGACTGCTATTTCCTGACTTCATTGCTGCCTACCCTGCTCTGGATCTCACAGAGAGTGAGAGGGAGGCCTGCTTTTGCTCTTTGATACCCTGTAGATAGGATTCTGAACCAGTGGTTCCCTCTCAACTGGCTGGGGACAGAACACAGGAACAGGGAGCCTCAGGAGTGGAGCCCAGATACCTATACCATAGGAGTAACGGACACAGGACTTGGCAGGGAAGAAAGCTGAGGGGAATTCCAGCTCAGAGGGATCCATGTGTGGCATTCCAAAGTGGGCAGCAGCTGGCTCTCATTCTGGGTGAAGCAATGGCTAGGCCCACTCAGTGGGTCAGAACCAGGTCATGCCAAGGCCCAAGCAGCATAGTGGCTCCTCTATTCTTCAACAACTGTACTGCCCACTTGGCACCAGGCTTGAGAACTAGAAGTGTAAGCTCTGTCAGGGCAAAAGGAGGGACCAGAGGACACACACACACACACACACACACACACACGGGGGGGGGGGGGGGGGAGAGAGAGAGAGAGAGAGAGAGAGAGAGAGCACAGTATAAGGCTGCACACATCTTGCTCAGGGGAGACAAGGCAGTGGAAGGTGGAATGTGCTTGGGGGGCCGTTTTGTGGGACAGTGTCTGGGTGTGTATGATGCATGTTTGTGTTTGCTTATGCACCTACTTCATTCCTTGCATGAATTTGTGGTCCAGGTGATGGGTAGGGTTTTTCTCTTCTTTTGACTCTGACCCTTTCTGTAACCTCTCAACAATTCAGCAGGGAGGACTTTCCCTTTGGGGAGGTTGGGAAGCTATGGTTCATCAGTGTAGTGTAGGTCACAGCTTTGTAAACACACACAAACACAAGGTGTTCTTCTGTGTGATCCTTAGTATCCCCCAGAGAGAGGGAGAGAGAGAGAGAGAGAGAGAGAGAGAGAGAGAGAGAGAGAG